CTCTGACAATGGAAGCATATTTAGCATGCATTCGTTTGACTTCGAAAAAATAAAAGTGTTTGAGGTCATCGTTCAGGCTAAAGATCATGGTTCTCCATCTTTAAGTAGTAACGCGACAGTTCATGTGTTTATTTTGGAGAACCGATCCAGTCCGCCACAGTCACAGTGGATATACTGATAGAGGACGGCTTTCATGAGCTCATCTCAGAATATAGAGAGAAAAATATTGAGCCCAACAAGAAAACTGGCAAAATAACATTATATCTGATCATCTCTTTGGCCTCTGTGTCCTTGTTTTGTCTGTTGACGTTTTTCATCCTACTGGTGAAATGTGCGCGAGGCAGTAGAAGCTGCTGTATCAGGAGGACAAACTCTGAATACAAGAACCCCAACAGAAACCTGCAGATCCAGCTCAACACTGACGGGCCCATTAAGTATGTGGAGGTTCTGGGAGGAGACATGATGTCTCAGAGTCAGTCCTTTGGCTCCTATCTCTCTCCAATGTCAGAATTCAGTGATCTCACCCTCGTTAAACCCAGCAGCACCACAAACTTTACAGACACGCTAAACGTGCTTGACGCGTCATTACCAGACAGCGCGTGGACGTTCGAGAGCCAACAGGTGAGACAAACTCAGATTTAAACCAGTTATATTTATACATTCTACATTATTTATGTATTTAAGTAACTGAGAGAGAGTGACGCTACTATCAGCACCTTGGACAGCTCCGTGTGCGCTTTTGTCTAAGCAAAGTAACTTTCCTCCAATAGAAACGCATGTTTTTATCCCCACCCCCTTTAACCCTTCTCCTAGACCCGCACAGGCTTGTTGCTCTTACGAGCAGTATTGTTAGTTTAGAAACTTAGAACAAATGGTGGAGATCATGGATACAAAACAAAACGTGTTTCTCATATACTTAACAACGTCTCGTCGGGTCTAATATATGCATGAATTAAAACCCCGAAGGAGTCTCTAGCTACTAGTGAAAATGGAGAGTAAAGAGCTTTTTCAGAGACCTTTGGACTGGGCTGCAGTTTGGATTGTTCTTAATTCTTTGTGTTTTGCAACGCACGCTTCGGAACTTTTATATTCTACAGCTGAGGAATCTAAACCAGGAACAATTGTTGGCCACTTGACTAAAGATTTAGGAATGGACGTTCATATAATACTTCTAAGAAATATGCGAATCATATCGGAATCTAATGCTAAGTATTTTGACGTAGACCTGACATCTGGAGCTTTGGTGGTCAAGCAAACAATGGACAGAGAGAGTATGTGCGGAGGAAGTTTACATTGTCACACTCGGATTCAGATTTCACTTCAAAATCCGTTGGAAATGCACAGCGTTACGGTAGAAATTGTGGATGTTAACGACAACGCGCCACACTTCCAAAGTCGAAACACTTCTTTGGAAATTTCAGAAGCGGCTGCGCCAGGCACGACATTCCGCTTAGAAAGTGCGCACGACCCTGACGTGGGTGTGAATTCACTGCGTTCTTATTTTCTTAGTCAAAACGATTGTTTTATGCTAAAAGTAGAAACTAAAAGCGACGGAAGCAAAATCCCGATTGTAGTCTTAAACAAGCCTCTAGACAGAGAAAAGACGAGCGAATTTAGACTGATTTTAACTGCAGTTGATGGTGGCAGTCCAGAAAAGTCCGGCAACAGTGCCATTTTTATAAATGTTCTAGATGTCAATGACAACGCGCCACACTTTCATAATCCTACAAAAAGAATCACGCTTTTAGAAAATTCACCTCATAGAACGTTAGTTACAACTCTTAATGCCTCTGATGCCGATCATGGTCAAAATGGTGAAATAACTTATACGTTTGATAAATACACCCCTGACAATGTGTTAAAACTCTTTAGCGTGGGTTCTATGACTGGTGAAATTAGAGTTACAGGACTAGTCGATCACGAGCTCGCTAATATATATGACGTCACTGTTCTTGCTAGAGACAAAGGAATACCTCCCATGGAGGGCTCCTGCAACATCAAAATCGAGATTATTGACGTGAATGACAACACCCCTGCTATCAGCATTAATGTGGTTTCTCCTGTAATCTCTGAAAATGTGAGTTCAGGAACTGTCATTGCCCTAATCAAAGTTAAAGATGAAGACACAGAGAAAAATGGCGATGTGAGCGTGCACATCCCTTATGGGTTGCCTTTCAAGATGAGTTCGCCATATAAAGGGCTTTTCACTTTAATGACCGATGGCCTGCTGGACAGAGAGGCCGTGGCTGAATACACCATTGCTGTGACTGCCACAGACTCTGGTTCCCCACCCCGTTCCTCGCAGGAATCTTTTGTGTTACGTCTTTCAGATGTTAATGATAACCCCCCAGTCTTTTCACAGCCTTCCTACTCTGTGGACATAGCCGAAAACAATGCCCCAAATGCTCCCCTTCTGTCCGTGTCTGCCTCAGACCCAGATGTGGGTGAGAATTCCACTGTTTATTTCTCAATTTTAGAGAGTGAAGCTCTTGGCAGGTCTGTATCTTCATATGTATATATAAACCCAGATAGTGGGCAGATATATGCCATGAGAAAGTTTGATTATGAGCAATTGAATGCTTTTCAATTCATAGTGCAGGTTCTTGATAGAGGAACTCCAGCTCAAAGCTGCAACACTACGGTGCATGTGTTTATTATAGATCAGAATGATCATCCTCCTGTCCTTATATACCCTGCACCCCCATCTGATGGGACGCTGCAGTTTTTGGTACCTAGCACAGCTGGCATCGGACACCTAGTGAATCGCATCACATTCGTGGATGGCGATAGTGGCCACAATGCTTGGTTATTCTACAGCTTCTCGGGACTTGATGCTGAAATGTTTCATATAGGTGCACATACTGGAGAGCTGCGTACAGCCCGTAGACTTACAGAAGAAGACAGCAAGTCTGTTTTTAGCTTCACTGTGATTGTAAAAGATAACGGCAGGCCTTCTCTCTCCGCTAGCGTGGTAGTTAACATCACCCTGGCTGAGAAAGCTTCAGATGTCTCTTCTGAACATAGAAGCTCTACCTCAAAAAGTCCAAAAGGGTCTGACCTCACTTTGTACCTTATAATCACATTATCCTTCGTTATTACAGTCTCATTCCTGGTTATCATTTTTGTAGTGGTGCGCTGGCTAAGCCACCATGGTTATGTTATGTGCCTCATGCAAAAACTCGGTTTCAAGCACACACCTCGTGAGCACCAACACAATGACCTCCACCTGCAGCTAAATACTGATGGTCCTACTAGATACATGGAGGTTGTGGGGGCCTCCCGGGATTTCAACAAACACACATACACGCATGGTTTCTCCACTATCTCCAGCAGGAGCGACTTTGTGTTTGTTAAGGCCCCACAGAGCACTCTAGGCATGCAACTGTCAAAAAGACTCTTCACTCACTCACTCATGAAGGTGAGATTTTCAGGAAATTTTATAGACTACTTTTTAAAAGTTTGAGGTCAGTAAGATTTCTTTCATGTTAGATGAGAAAGAAGTCTTCTGTGCCCACCAAGGCTTTTTTTAAAATCTAAAATACATTAAAATGGCAATACTGTGAAATATTATTATAATTTAAAGTAACTGTTTTGTATTTTAGATATTTTACAATGTAATGTATTCATGTGATGGCAGCCATTACTCCAGTCTTTTTGGCAGCCACTACTCCAGTCATTACTACATGATCATTTAGAAATAATTTGAATATGCTGATTTGGTGCTAAAGATACATTTATTTTTACCAATGTTGAAAGCAGTTGAACTGCTTAATATTTTTGTGGAAACCGTGATACACTTTTTTTTCTTCAGGATTCTATGCTGAATAGAAGGTTCAAAAGAACAACAAATATGTGAAATAGAAATGTTTTGTACAATTATAAATGTCTTTATTGTCACTATTGTCCAATTTAATGCATCCCTGCTGAACATAAGTATTAATTTCTTTCAAAAATTCTTACTGACGCCAAACGTTTGATGGGTAGTGTAAGCAGTTACTGTCCTTAAGTAAAAAATGTTTGCATCTGTTAATGAAACAAATGATACACGGTTCAAATATTTGTGGTATGAATTTTACTGTCACCATTTCTCAAAATAATTTTTAGTTAGATGGAAATCATGCTGTGTATGTCATTAATTCAGACTAAGGCTCTAGTCACTATGACTCACTTTTTGGACTAAGCACTCTATAATACCAAGTGTATTAAGAATCAGGCCACAATCTGAGCTATTTCTAGACCCAATGACTCAGCAGAGAATTTAACTGTATAAATCTGAGAAGAATTATGACTGAAAATATTGTGTTCAAATGCTCAAGTCAGGTGAGGCAGATTGTTACAATCATTATGATTTACAAAGTAGAAGCAGTTGGATGCCGTTGTATGCATACAGTTCCGAATAGAAGACAGTCTTTGTGGAATCTATAATAGAGTTTGTAGGATCATAGTGTGATATTGCACATGCTTTGAATGCTGTCTTGCAACACAATGACTCGACTGAGTGTGGGGAGATGCAATAGAATTGTGTGGGATACTAAAGGAAATATGACAAAATGATGAAAAAATCCAAAATGGGTTGAAATTTTAGCCATAATCCTCTTACAGGTGAGCTCATATTTTGTTTGCTACAGACCTGAGTATACTCCTCATGTAAACGCACTCATACGAGACAGCAACATGATCGAAGTTTCAATTATTCACACACACTCTCCCTCAATCTATTTTCTACTTTATGTTCTTCTTTGTTGCTCTGTTTCTCACTACTCCCCTCAACTTATTTTTTTCTGTATCAGCAAAGGTGAAGTTTCAGAAAACAGTCCTGAGCAAAAGCAGAGGAAGTGCACCAAATTGTACTCTGCTGTCAATAATTCAAATTTGTGTTTCAGAACTACAACCTTCTATGACAGGATGGAAGGACCTGCGATCCAGGATGGACCAATAGTGGATATGATTCTGTATGCCAAACAAAAGTATTGACAAAACTCTTTTCTTCTTATTTTCAGCAAAAGCCGCCAAATGCTGACTGGCGATTTCCCCCAAACCAGAGGCCTGGACCTAGCGGGTGAGTGTTGGATTCAGTTTATGTGTCTAGCAAAACCTATAAATACATTTGAGATTATCCACGTGGTATTACGTACACTGTTTTGTAATAATTTTCATTTAATCTCTCTGATTGGAATGAGATAATAAAAGAACAAAATCTGGGATTACCTGTCAACAATTGAGTGCCTACATTTTTGGTGGCCACTATATTAAGAATTTAGTCAGCAAGAAGAGTTGAGTAATACCAAACTATCTAAAATGAACAAATAATAATAATAAACTTTATTTTCTATAGCGCTTTTAAAAGGTACATCTCAAAACGCTTTACACAGATAAAAAGGGATAAAATAAAAATAATAGCAATAATAATAATAATAATAATAATAATAACAATAAACACCATGCATATGACACAAAGAAATCACTTAAAAGCTATTCTGAAAAAGTGGGTTTTAAGAGCAGATTTGAAAACACTAAAATACTTAGCCTGTCTGATCTCAATGGGAAGAGAATTCCAGAGTTTTGGTGCACAAGAAGAAAAGGCCCGATCACCCATAGAGCGTAAACGAGTAGGGGGACCACTAAAAGACCAGAATCAGAGGAGTGGAGATCACGACTTGGAATATAACCAGTTAACAGTTGTGACAAAATGTGGCGCCAAACCATGCAAAGCCTTGTAGGTCAGCATGAGAATTTTCAAATCAATCCGAAACCTGACACGGAGCAAGTGCAATGACTCTAAAACTGGAGAGATGTGCTCATTTGTCCTGGTCCTTATCAGGATTCTAGCAGCTGAATTTTGAACAGACTGCAGCTCACTTAAGGTGGTTTTAGAAACCCCAGCAAGTAAAACCTTACAGCAATAGATATGAGAAAAAACAGAAGTATTAATCAATTTTTCAGCAACCGACAGGGATAACATGGGATGGAGTCTTGCAAATACCAAAATATCTAGATTAGAAAATGCAGTAATTTAGTAATGTTCCTTCCTTCAGTGTTTTCAAAATCTGAGATTACCTGTAAATATTTGAGTGCCTACATTTTTGATGGTCACTGTCTATTTAGTCAGCAAGAAGAGTTAAGCAAACAATATTTATAGATAAAATCAACAAATACCAAATTATCTAGAATAGAGTCTGAAATAATTGACAAATTTTCCTTCCTTAAGTGTTTTCATCTCTATATTTAGCCCATTATCGCCATTTTATGAATATTAAAAATGTCAATGACAATTTACTATAATCGTGCAAAAATAAACCCTGTAAAGAAATTCTGCCAAAGAAATAAAGTCCTGCAAAAATAAAATCCTACAAAACAAATCCTGTGAAGAATATCCTGCAAAAGAAATCATATGGGGAAAAAAACCTGCAAATACACCATTCTTGAAGATGAATCTGCTCGGATTGAGTTGGGCAGGTCATTCCACCAGGAGGGAACATTTAATTTAAAAGTCATAAAAAATATATTATGACAGCAATTATCAGATAAAAACGCGAACCAGCTTCCTGTGAGACACAACGTCTTAAGAGTATGTAAGGTTTAAAGGTAAAGGAAACCCAAAGACGTTCTCACCCATCCATGTGCTCTGGTCAGACGCAGGGTGATTGAGTGACAGCTGCATGCTCCTGTGCTTATGTTTCAGCCAACACAGGTTCCACACCCTGCAGCAGAGATGGACTCCATACGAGAAGTCCAGGTAGAGTGAAGGCGAAGAGAAGGCTAGTGTGTGGTAGCGTTTGACTTCACCTGGTGTAGCCTTCTAATGGAATGTCGTGTTTAGGTCTTTCAGATTATGTGTCCTGCAGCTTCCAGCGACATGCTGTCCAGTCTGTTCCTACACATATAAATGTGCACACAAATCACATGCAGTTGGTTCATTTGAGGATAAGGCTTTTGGATGTATGTGTATCGCTGATAGCTGTTTGTTGCATCTTGCTCTGCGGGTTGTCATTGCAGTGTGTTTACCTGTGCTTAGTAAACTTGTTTGTTCCGATTTTATTTATTTTGGCTCTGTAGAGCCAAGTCTGTGAAGTCTGTCCCTAAAGAGTAGAGAAATAGTTCTGTCCTTATGTATGGACTCTGCTATCAATCTGTTTGTGTGGGCAGAGAAAGAGAGTAAAAATCTGCTTTTTAGTCATGCCATTTTGAAACTAAGCAGCCTGTAATAACCCAAATATACTTAAAGTGATAGTTCACCCAAAAAAAAAAAATTATGTCATCATTAACCCATCCTTGTGTCATTCCAAACCTGTATGACTTTGTCCTGTCTTCTTTGCGTTTCACAGATTTATTTGAATACAAAAAAAAAAAAAAAAAAAAAAAAAAAAAAAAAAAATCCAACACACTACTCAAACTTGCATCTTTGGCAAATAAATTTTAGCATTTATGAAACAAAATCTGTGAAATGACAAAAATGTCTACCCAAATGAAAAACACATTAAAAGACTTTAATGTAAGGGCATCATGTACATTATCATAATAAACTCATGTTCCTTTGTCCATTTAGCTTATCAGATTATCTTTTTTTTTATTATTACTTTTTATTTATTTTTTGACCGCTTTAATTTGAACGGACAGTACTCAAAATAACAGAGTAGACAATATCTTGAGGGACCAACTAGAAACCTTTATTATAATTGTTTAATTAAATAATAAAAAAAAAATCTACACTGTAAATACTCACATTTAATGAGTTATTTTTACATTTGCTGATATGTCCGCATGTTTTATAAGCCAGAGGAACATCAATTGACTGAAACGTTGCTAAGCTAATAAAATTCGCAAGGATGCAAGTTTGAGTACTGTGCAGGTGTTTTTTAATTTTTATTTTTCTAGTCTATACTAGACTGCTGATGCATCTGCATATGAGTGTGCGAGGCACTATATTTTCTATTTAGCATTTTACAGATGAAAAAGAAAGTTTATACAGGTTTGAAATAACATGAGGGTGAGTAAATGAAAAAAAAGGGTGAACTATCTCTTTAAATAATGCTTATTGTGACTTGATTAAAGGGCAAAGTGTATTTGTTGTCAAGCCACATGGTATAAACAGACACAACTGTATTCTGATCAATGCATCTGTCTGTTTACTTCATGTCTACCACTGCTTCTTCGACTTTAGCCTCCATTTTCTGACTGCACTGTCCTGCCCTGTCACACAAAATGGCTGTCTCAGCTAATGAACCGGGTACATTTATGCTAGCAAATGTGGTGGCTGCTGTTCTCATTTATGTGTGAGAGGTTTAATGCGAGAAAAAAGCACCATGAATGTGTTTGAGTGTATGTTGAGTCACTAACCCTGTTCTCTGTCATGTAGGGCTGGAGCTCGTCCTGATGAGGCAGGTGCCAGCGCTGGTGTGATCGCAGGAACAGGACCGTGGCCCAACCCCCCTACCGAAGCTGAACAGCTCCAGGCTCTGATGGCAGCAGCGAACGGTGAATCTCACTTATTATTCCCTCTTTTTTAAAAGGAGAGCAAATAAGAGAATGAGGAGAAAGCATTAGCACAGACTTGAACCAGAAATAAAAGCATAGCCAACAAGATAAACATTTTGCATATCCTTCAGGCTGATCAGCTTTACAAGCTAAATTTTCATGATAATCTTGCTGGTTAAGCTAATTAAGGAACCCGTTGGGGGCAAATCAGCCCACCAGCATCCAAAACACAGCATATGCTGGTCTTTACAGCAGGGAAGTCTGTCCACATATATGTGACCCTGGACCACAAAACCAGCCATAAGGGTCAATTTTTCAAAAATTTTCTGAAAGCTGAATAAATAAGTTTTCCATTGATGTATGGGTTGTTAGGATAGGACAATATTTGGCTGAGATACAACTATTTGAAAATCTGGAATCTGAGGGTGCAAAAAAAATTTAATATTGAGAAAATCATCTTTAAAGTTGTCCAAATGAAGTTCTCAGCTATGCATATTACTAATCAAAAATTAGGTTTTAATATATTTACAGTAGGACATTTACAAAATATCTTCATGGAGCATGATCTTTACTAAGTATTACAATTATACATATTATACTATATATACTATTATATTATTACTATTATTATTATACAAAAATTTTGACTCATACAATGTATTTATGGCTATTGCTACAAATATACCCCAGCGACTTAAAGAGCAGGTCATATGTTTTTTTTAAAGTGTGCTAATATTGTGTTGGAGTCCCCTACAACAGGTTTAAATGCATCTAAGGTCAGAAAACACTGTAATTTTCCCATAATATACATTTCTACATAGAGTCATTTGTCCATGATTTCGAAACGGTTCATTCGCTTCAGTTCTGAGCGAAATGTCTGTAAACTTCCATAAGCCTACTCTGCTCTGATTGGTCTGCTGGCCAAGCCTGTTGTGATTGGCACAAAGAGGAGCACTTGAGCAAGTTAGTGAGCGCTACCATCTATGTTGCCAAGTCCGCGGTTGTTTTTGCTGTCGCGGGTTGTAGCGTTTGAAGAATGAGACAAAAGACGCTCTGTGTCTTAACTTTTAATCAGAACGCAGAACAGCTGTATCACATGTGCACCAGCCTAACTAACTCATCTCTCTCTACCGGGTCTTTTACTCCCTGCATTAACGCTATAACTACATAAACAGCACTTTCACAATGATTATAAAGTCTGTGCGCTACACTACATTCTTTATTATTAAACGAAGTAATTAGAACAATGACAGTTTACATTAATCGACACATTCTTAGGAAACAGTGGGTTCACAGCGAATTATAAGAACTATTTCAGTAAAACCTGGAAACCTAAAGCTGCACTAGGTATACATCACATATTAGCACAAAAAAAAAAAGGAAATAGTGGGTTCACAGCGAATTATCAGACCTATTTCAGTAAAACAGTAATATTGTGCTTTACCTGGAAACCTAAAGCTGCACTAGGTATACATCCCATATTAGCACAAAAACTTGATTTTGAGCACCCAATTGAAAATGTACACATAACGTATCAATTGTACTTACAGGTTGTGGTTCGGAGGCGCTTGTTGGTCCAAATAAAGAAGATTAGAAGCCAACGAAGATAAAAGGCAAGATTAGAGAAGCAGTCCTCTGTAAAATGACGAGCACAACAAAAGGTTCGAATTGTATTGCTGTGGTATCGTGGAACACAGCATCTTCTCGACACAGAGAGTGTTCGTATTTCGTGGGCAGGCAGGGATTATGCTAATGTGTGACCCAGTTACGTAGATCGGTAACAGGCAGAAGATTCGAAAATATAACGACTCGTTAAGGCGATTCTGAGTCGACTCTTTCTTTTGAGAGACAATATCTTTATTTATCATGCACTTTTTTGATTAACAACTTTGCAGACTGTTTACATTGAAGGATAGCTACCTTACAAACTGCAAAAGAGATATTTTTCGAAAACCCATATGACCTGCTCTTTAAGACTGGTTTTGTGGTCCAGGGTCACATATTGTATTGGATGCATCAGTACTCAAGGACAGATTATGAAGACCGGTAATAACTGGATGATGTAAGGAAAGAGGGGGATGGAGTGAGAGAAGAAAGAGAAGAGAGAGTGGCTTCCAGAGTAAAATGGATCTCACCATTTATTGACTGTAAGAGAGTCAAATTAATTGAGTGTAAAGAGACAAAGGAGCCTTTTGCCTCTCCGCAGCTGCAGTCAGAATGACAGCACTGTGCTGATGTTGTTCTCTAGCCTAGATGACAGTCGTCTTTCTAAGAAACAGAATCTCAAGTGTTATCTACAGTATTTTAACATATATATATGTGCTGCATGAAGCAGAGCAATAATCACGTTATATACATTTGTTCGTTCAAATTTCACTGGGCTGGTGTGATTTCAGTATGCATGTATTTAGATATAAATGTATATTTAATAACGCAATACACATAATTAGATTTTAATTAATTATATATTGGCCATGGCCTTGTAAAAAAAAAACACTTTAGCATAATTTAAAAAGAGTACTTACAGAAATAATAAAAGAATATACTTAAGAGCAAGCAAAATGCAATTTATTCAGTCACTTACTAAAAATGTATTTAAATATATTCCTGTTGAAATGCAATGCATTTAAATATATCTGTGTTTACACATTTGCAATGAGTAGTAGTAGTATATTTTTATTTAATGCCATGTCACACATTTGTAATGAAGTTGCTGCAATTTGTTACCTTTAAATATATTATCTTTAACACACTACAGTTAAAATTGAAATCAAGTACTTTACATGTGCTTTAGCATGTTAGTCAACACAATAAAATAAGTGTCCTTTAAAGCATGACAAAAGATTATTAAAACAGTGGTTAAATGTACTTAAAATAAAATATGTAATCTGACATTATTACAATGTGCACTTTTTAAATGTATCTTAAGTGTTTTAAGAAACAGTCATGAAATGTACTCTTTTTTTAAGTAAACTTAAAATGATAGATAGTTCATAGGTCATTATTTACTCACCCTCAAGTTGTTCCAAAGCTGTAAGAGTTTCTTCAGCTGTTGAACACAAAAGATACTTTGAAGAATGTAGGTAACCAAACAGTTTGACTTTCATAGTATGGAGGAAAAAAAATACTGGCTACTCTCAGCTGTTTGGTTACCAACATTCTTCAAAATGTGTTCAGCAGAAGAAAGAAACTCAACAACTTGAGGGTGAGTAAATGATGACATAATTTTTATTTTTGTGTGAACTATCCCTTTAAGAGGCCTCTTATTTCATTAATATCATATAAATCTGCATATTCTTTTTTTAATATGCTTGTACTATTTGAAGTACACTACAAGTTTAATACAGTTAAGTGCACTTCTTTTTAACAAGTGTGGGTTTGGTTTAGGTTAACAATTTCATGACTACAATTTCATTATGAATTTGTGAAAAAGAAACAGATTTATGATGTGGGAACAAAGGCGGAACTGCCTCACTGCTGTTAGATGACAATGCCACTTCCATTTGCAATGCATTTCACAAGAACTGTGAAAATACTGGTTTTTAGTGTGCTATTCTTGTATATACACATGTCTTCAGTTCTGTAAGCGCGTTGCTGAGTATGTGATGTGTGTCGATGTTACGGCATACATAATACATGGGGGATGGGCAGGCAGAAGCAGGTCACTGAGGGAGCTGCAATGCGGTTCCTGAGTGACTGAATTATGAGCTCTGTGCCGAACCAACTCATCTATAACCTCTCCCATCTCTCTCTCTTCTGTTCTTCTACGTTCTCTATACCTCCTTCTATTTCCTCTTTCTCTCTCACCCTACCGTTGCTGTCAGAAGCAAGTGAAGCCACTGCAACTCTCGGCCCTCGCTACAATCCACAGTACGGCCCAGACTACCGCCAGAACGTCTACATCCCTGGCAGCACCGCCACCCTGACGGCCAACCCTCAGCAGCAGGTACCCCAGCAGGCCCTTCCCCCTCCCCAAGCCCTTCCTCCCGTCGAAGTCCCCAAGGCAGCTCAGACGCCCGCTAGCAAGAAGAAGCCTACTAAGAAAGACAAGAAGTAAGACAGAAGCGTGGAAGCACTATCAGAGCTGCAGAAATATGTCGCCAGGATCTGAGCATCTCTCCTCAAAAAACGAGTCCACAGGTTGGATCTTTAGATCTTTAGTCTTTAGATTTAATGTTCTTTTCTGTGAGGTTTTTATTTGTTTGTTTTAGATTTCCCTATTTTTATTGATTGTATTTTGAATTATATTACAATATCTTACTCAATAACCCCAAAAATCAAGCATTTCCTGTTTTGTCGATGAAAGAAAGAATGACTGAACAAGAGGAGATGTGTTCAGATTCCCGAAGCTCTTTCTGTGACAGATAACACTGTCTTGTAAATAGCATTACTAAAACAAGAAGAAACTATACATTTCTTCTTTTATTTTATTTTATTTTATTTTTTTCCAAATGTCATGTTTCAGCCTTCTTTTTGTGTGTTTTTTTTAAAGCAAAGTAGATGCTTCTTGTGGTTACAAATTGAAACGCTGGTAGGCTTTTTAACAATGTGCCACAACTCTCACCTTGACTGAAAAAAAAAAAAAAAAAAAAAAAAGAAAAGAGTATTGAGCTGAACTATGCAGTGAAAACGGGATACTAAGAAAAAAAGAGGGCACAAGAAAGTATATTTAACTAGTTTTTTCGGAGTAAGAGAATACATTTGCGTTCGGTGAGACACTGTTGGCATGGTTTTTAAAAATAGATTCAGTCTTCATTAACTTCTTAATAGTCAGTTAAGCAGAAACGAACATTAGGTTAACAACATTTGACTATTCTTTGCATTTATTTCCTGTTAGCTGAGTATAAGAATCCTGGAAATGCAAGTAATGTAAACAGTGTTGTTGAAGCTCAGAAAAGATCATCTCAGCCTTTGTAAGGTTAAGATCAGAGAAAGATTTAGTTCAAAGTGAATGCACTAAGAGTTAATGGAAAACTTGAAGTGAACCAAAAAGAAAGAAACAAATAATGAACATGTGGAAAGACTAATGACTAACTTAAGTGCAACACTGTACTTGAATGGACCTTAGATGGAAGGATTCTGTCCATTGTTCTGCACCAACCACTACCACCACAGTGTATATAAAATGTGTAACCTGTCTGTACAAACATTAGAGCCACAAGGGCTGGCTGTTACAGGAATGTTTCAGTATTTTTTTTTTTTTAAAAGCAACAAAAAAATGATGATAGAAAAAAGATCTAGTGTAGTGTTGTAGGAAGAAAAGCTTCAAGATCATTAACTAACCAAACTGTACATACTACAACTTCTGAAGACACGCAATCGTAGCTTAAGGCTTGTGGAGTATGTGCATATTTTTGTGTTTTTCCCCCTTGATTACACTTTTGAACTTTCCTTTTCTCCAATCACGTACAACTTTGAAAGATAACAGACGATACTTACTGTCTATAGAGTACCACCCCTCCCCTCATCTTACTGTACTTTTCTGTGCTTGTAATTCCAATCAGTCGGTTATGATACTGGAATGCCACTCCTGTCTGTTTGACTATGAATATCTATCTATCTATCTATCTATATATATATATATATAAATGTCTGTCTGCTGCTTGGCTACCTTTCTGTATTTGGCTGTGATTCCTTTAAAGAAATGCTTAGCACCTCATGTTACCCTTTTTATTTTATAAGCTAATATTTATATTGCTGTTGATTTATGTTTTACTTTATTATTGGAACACTTACATTTGAAATAAAATTTTGTCAGAACTCACAGTCATGGCTGAGCTGTATTTTTGTAATTGCTTTGTCTGTGAACACAATTGTGGACATTTGACTCATATCCAACTAAATTCAAAAAGTTGGGGTCAGTAAGATATTTGAAAGAAATTGGCACTTTTATTCTGCAAATATTAAACAAATTGACCAAAATTGACATTAAAGGGCAATAAATAAATAAAGTTGCTGAACATTTACTGTTAGAAAACAGTAGCGAATAGTTATTTTAAATTGTAATAATATTTCACAATATTACTGTTTTTTTTTTCATTAAATAAATGCACCCTTGATGAGCATAAGAGACTTGGTTTTGAATGGTTGTTTATGAAAAAGTTTAATTACTCATAATTACATTTATATTTTAAGGTCATTGTCAGGAAACTCATGAATTACTATGGATATAATTAACAGTTGCATGTTTTCTTTAAATTCAGTAAAAAAATAAATAAATAAAAATAAATGCAAAAGAATATAATCATATAAAATATCATGTATAATATATATATATAT